ACTTTTACTGCCAGTGAGAAGTGTGGCATGGTTAAATAGTCCAGAAAAATAGATCACTATTAGAAAAACAAAACAAAGTTGGATTATACGCATGATAAAAGAAACAGTAGGGGACTAAGTACATGACAAAGAGGAGAAAAGCAGAAATATTTTTAAATTATATGCATGAAAAACAATATTGGAGGGAGGATAAATTGCTCTTTTAGTGTTGTAGATTACATTTGAAAAGCGTTGAATATATTTTGTTATCTCACTGTGTCGCTAGCGTTTTATTTCCTGTTTGGATTGAAATATATTTCTGCCACTTGCAGGGCAGCCATCAGAGGAAGACCTTGCTCACACTTTAATTTACACCCAGGATATGCATCACTAGGACAAGGGCCACATTCAAACCTGTCTCAGTCAATTCAGTGGGAATTGGTCTATTATTTTTATGTCCGCAATTACGAGGACAGAGCCGTAACTACGACTCCGGCACAGATAACAAAGATATATTTAGGAGTAAATAATATTGACTGTACCTTTGTTTAAAGCTGGAATCAATACTTCTTAAAGCGTGTCCATTTTTCATTTAGCCGCGTCATGTCTGTGCGGAGGAGGGGCAGAGAGATGAATGGGTGGATCCTCTAATTCCCCCTGTTGCAGTTATCATAATTGTTGAACAGCCACGGTTTTTAAAGATCTGGTTCGAGGAGAGGGAGGCCACACAAAGAAAGTTAATAGATTTGTAAAATTGAGATAGATTGCACAGCAGCCGTTTTTGGAACGTTCCATCGGCGTGGCAGGCAGATGGACAAATGTGATCCAGGGATGAGGAGGTTGGGGAGGGATTGCGGAGGGGGTGGTGGTGGATGCTGCAGCACACGGCAGCACAGAATACATCCTGACAAATAAAGGCGTTACTGTTTACCCGTTTATATCTCACGGTCTGGCGGGTGATAGCCGGATAGATCACAGTTTGAGGCCTGCATGAGCTTTAGAGCGGATGAGACGGCTGATGAATTCTCTGTGAGAGGCAGCAGTGAAACAACAGTAGTTCCTCTCTTGAGGCACCAGGGGGAAATGGATAGCTGTGGAAAGGATGCTTCAGGGAATAGACAAGCTCGCGAGAAGTTTGGGCCATTTGTTAGAACTATATGGAATAAGCCTGTGGTCAGAATTGCATATAGAAAATATTTTTTTATGTCCCATTGTAAAGCTGCATCATACCTCCTCCTCCATCATAAACTGTGTTGTTTCATCTGATAGTGCTCCCCGTGTTAGACCTCTGACCCTGTCATTTGTCTGCTGAAGATGGCTTTTAGAACCTCCTAAAGGATCTTTTACAGCAGTGATTTATCCACAGGGGCCTACATTTGTTTCCATCCGTTTTGATATTGGTCATTGTTTTCACATTTGATGCATTCAGGCTTTTCTCTGCTGCTCAGAAATCTTTCCCATATCCAATTTTTTACCTTTCCCGTGTCCAATTTTCCCTAATATTCAGATGATTATGGCGTGATGTTTTCCTTCCCTCCTTTCAGCATTCTGCTCTTTTTCTCTCCCTCTCCTATTTTTCCCCTGATTCTCTTTCCTCCTTAGATCCTGACATATGGCTCCATGATACGAATGTTTTCAGTGACATTATGGTTAATCCGTGCTGAAACAGTGGCTGAGATTCCACTGCAAATCATCCACAAATGAAAACATAAAATCTTACACTTACTTAGCTTCTCCTATCCCAATTCCAAATGGCTGAAAAATATTTTCAATCTGCCCCCTCTGACAGACAGGTCATAGTGTTTTTACGTTGCAGTCTGAGAATTAAATTACCCCCATATTGAATGTTATCAAAGTCCAGTTGAGAGGATTTTCTTTTTGTAATGTACTTTGAGCTATCCAATTTTCCTTGTATTTACTGTCTATTTTTTTGTCAATTTGGTGGAGGAACATATTGTGTGCGTTGGCGCTGGGTGTCACTAGTGTCGTCACGCTACAGTGGTTTTGGTGTTGGCTGGCCTCGGAGGTCAGTGTGTGGGAAGAGATGGTGGCTCTGCAGGGCTTTGCGGCAGCTCTTGGCCTGTCCCTTTGGGCTCCGACAGGCCCACATCCACTCCTCTCATTCATGAAGGGGTCAACACACGGGTCAAAACACACCGTTTGACTCCCCGCAACACTCTGGTGCGTGTGGGCGTAGATGAAACCGGGTATTTTGTGGGCCTTTGGTAAACTGCAGCTGGTAGCGGCTCTTACTTCTCCCTCTCAAGTCCAAATGTGCCTAAAAGCATGGCTCACACAAAGGCAGAAGGGAGAAAATACTGTTAAATTGTGTTGCATTGAATGCTGAGAGTGGGATGCCGAGTTGCACATAAAGGGATGGAAAGACACCGTTTATTCCCTATTAGTATCACCACGTTGACAGCTTGGCCAAGAGGTAAGGAAGGCTTCTCTCTCCCTCAACCACATCTAATGCTAGCACTGAGAAACAATGCGGGGCCACACTAACACGTTCCCCACACAGCCAGCTGCTATCGTGGTGACTGCCGGAGTAGATCTCTGTGACCACGGCCTCCCTCCTCCTCCTCACTCTGTAACCTCTTGCTCTCTCTGTCTCTTTAGTGGAGGGATAGAGATGTGGAGGGCGAGAGAGACTGACAGTGTGCGCTCCCCTGCTCAGTAAATATGAACTGCACCCAGCAGACAGACTCATTCATCACAGGGGAAAGAGGGGGAAGAGAGGGGGGTGTCTGGAGGCAAGGTGCAGGGATACAGAAAGGACTAAGAGAAATGTCCAAAAGACGGAGAGAGATGGGAGGGAGGAAGAGGAGGAAGAAGAGAGGTGGGAGGAATAGGAAGTAGATGGAAAGAAGATGAAAGAAAGGAAAGTGTTCTGGGTGAAGCGAGTGGGAGAAAGAGATAACAGGCCGAGAAGGGGGAGAGAGTCCTGGATGATTGAAGGATAAATAAAGGATAGCAGATGTGCATGGGGAGGAGAAACCTCAAGCATGAGCACAAGTGATGAAATACAGGAAGACATTTTATATCTCATCACCAAGAGATCTTGTGTTGCGTTCTCTGCCTTTAAGCATCTTGTTATAGGAGTAGCATTAGTTTTGCAGCCCCCTGGTCAGGAAGGTCATGTCCCACTCAGACTTGTTGCTTTTCAGATTGCGACCTTGATTATGCTCTCGAGGATCTGCACTCGCATCTGGAGGTCATGCTCTTTCATTGTGAACTCATTTTTCTCATGCACATTAGAGTTAAAATGCCACGTGCATGAGGTGAGAAAACAGTTTTCTCAGGTTGAATTATATTTGAGAGAATAAAACAAAGTATCTTGTAATTTCAAGTATACAAGATATTTGCAATAAAATAAACCAATTGTATTGAACCTGTATCCTTTATCCCATAGAGCTAGTATTATTAGTTTTTTACAGATTTCTAACAATTAGTACTGAAGCTGCAGCGGAGTGCAATACACAAGATGTATTTGCTTACTGAGAGACATGCAGTATTTATTGTGCATTGATTATTCTTCCTAATCACACCAGAGCAGCAACATAAATTCTTCCAGCTGTCATTCTGTAGACAGTGTTCGTCATTTTAAAATGAACTTCTATTTTACTGAACTTCCAAATACTCTTCATAGCAGATTCCGGTGCCCTTTCCAGTCCATGTCCTCAATTTCCAACAACTTCCCCCTCTTCACTCCGACCAAAATCCACCTCCTCTCCATCTTTTTCCACTCTGCAGAAAGACAGGAGAGAGGGAAGATGATGTGTGACAGATGCCATATTTCGACCTTCTGTCAGGGAGATTAATATTGACACTGTGTTTCTTACCAGGGGCTTGTTGACTGTGTGTGTTGGGCTTTGATTTCATTATCCTCTGCTCAGCCACTTTTTTCGTAAGAATCAGACAATAACAGATGTGGCGACTGAAATGGAGACTGTGGTATCGGAGGGGCTGAGTGAACAAGTCATATTGCCGAGCGGGTCGACCATCAGTCCTGTGGAACTGTAAAACCCCCCAAGGATACATAGCACAGAGACCCTTCAATT